ATATATATATATATATATATATATATATATATATATATATATATATACACACTGCTCACAAAATTAAAGGGAACACTAAAGCAACACATCCTAGACTCAATTAATTAAATATTCTCATTGACAAACTTTATTATTAGCACAGTGGAATTGATAGAGAAGAAAATTACACAAAAATTATCAATGTAAATCAAAATTATGACACCATGGAGATCTGGATTTAGATTCATCCTCAGTATGAAAGTGGAAAACAACATGACAGCTGATTCAACATCAGTGAATATTCCTCAAGACAAGTCTAAATGAGACTCAGTAGTGCATGTGGCCTCCACGTGCATGTAGAACCTCCATACAACACCTGTGCATCCTGATGAGACGGTGGACGTTCTCCTGAAGAATCTCTTCCCAGACCTGGATTAGAGCATCAGTTAGCTCCTGAACACTCTGTGGTGCGATGTGACCTTGGTGGATTGACTGAAACATGATGTTCCAGATCTGCTCAATTGGATTCAGGTCTGGGGAACGGGCAGGCCAGTCCAGAACATCAATGCCCTCATCATGCAGGAACTGCTGACACACTTCAACCACATGAGGCCTAGCATTGTCATGCATAAGGAACCCACTGCACCAGCATATGGTCTCACAATGGGTCTGAGGATCTCATCCCAGTACCTTATGACAGTCAGGACACCTCTGGTTAGCACATGGAGGGCTGTGCGGTCATCCAAAGAAATGCCTCCCCACACCATGACTGACCCACCACCAAACTGGTCATGCTGGAGGATGCTGCAGGGACTGACTCATAGCAGCTAGCTACATGTTTTTGTTACCACTCCAGTGTTGCCAGATTGGGTGGTTTACTGCCAATTGGCCAGTTTTCGTTCTGATTTTGCTGGGAACTCTGGGAAGATTTTTGTTGGACTGTTCCGTTTTGCCACATATTGTTAAATTACCTTGGCTTGTACTGATGTGGGTTTGTGTTCAAAAAGTAAATATACTGTAACAAATATAGATTGTGCAGGTTTTTGTGTGAT